AACAGATTGACAGTTGAAGGGTGCAACTGTTTTGCCTCCTGACATTGTGTGGGAGGTAACAGGGTTGTTTGAATCCTTAGTTCCAACTGTAGAGCTGGGATTCCAAATCCAGATCCTTCTTCTACTCCCTTGTAGCCGGTATGGGAGGAGAAGGTTGGAAACTGAACTTGGAAATAGCTAAAGGGTGGGAAGGAGAGGAGTCTTTGGCCAACGGCTTAAATCATATCCAAATGGTACCCCAGCCTCCTTCCCTTTGCCTCCCTGCTGCTTCACCTAAATGGCTGAAAAGAGCCATCAGAGGAAATACAGGTCACAAGGCACAGGGTGGGAGAGGCTACTGCTGCTGTGCCTCACAGCCAGCACCCCAGTTCAGAAGCGTAAGTGCATCAAGGGTGGACAATAAAGGACTACACCCAAAGGGTTTCTCGGTTCTGTGCTCAGTCATACTTTCTGTTCTCTAGTTGGGCAGGCGTTCTGTTGTTCTCCTCGCATGCTCATCCTGAGAGCACAGCTTTCTGGATGGAATTAAGTCTAGACTCTCCTATCAAAGGGAGTCAGAAGGGGTCTCCTGGGCTATCTAGTCTGACTCCCGGTTTCAGCCAGCTCTGCTCATGGCATGCCTACCATGTGGATGTCCAGCCTATCCTTTTATACTAAGCTTCAGGCTCTGAGTCATTTGTCACCTGAAACTGGGATTCACTAAAAGTGGGAAGAAAGGCCCAGAGACCAACTCCAGTGCACTTGCTCTGCTAAGAGAGAACTTCTAGCAGGGTTCTCCAGAATATACTCCAACATATTAATCTGGAGATACAGGGTTTTGTATCATTGTATCATTTGTAGGCACCTGGCACTCACTCTCTCTTATTTTAAGCCATGGGTGGCCCAAACCCAATTATGGATGGGGAGAGAGTGAAAGCTTAGCTGAGATAAAACCAAGTTCACGGAAACAAGGGGCTAGTAGAAGAGCTCCCTGTTCTGGATAGGATTAGTCCAGCCTTTACAAGGCAGGCTCACAGTTTGGAGGTATTTCTGGGCCCAGGGATAAGCAGTAGCTTAGACTGTCTTTTACCTGCTGTTGGCAAATATCAGACCAACTACTGTCATTTACCTTTCAGTATCCTGGATTAGATTGCTGGCCTATGTAGACAACTTTGTAACCTATTGGGTAACTTCATAAGTACTGGCAGCAAGAAAGGGAATGGGCTTTTTCTAAAGATTTGCCCCACTAAGAGGCTTCTTAAAATTTAAAAGATTTGGGATAATTCTACAGTTTATTCCCGTTGGGGTCATTGTCATGTTTACATACAGTCTGCCTTGTGGGTTATATTGTGGTCATTTGACTCTCTGACTAGACTGGCCTACATTACTGAAGTGAGTTGTCCCTAAGAGTGCCCAGAGTCAGGTGTTTGTAACACATTTGGTTCAAGTATAATCTGGTACGACTAGAGAATTCCTGCTTTTTCCATCTGTAGCTGGTCCCTTCTGATTTTTCTTCCTCATTTTTCAAACATAGTCTAGAAATCTCGGTTAGTTCAGAATGAAGCCTCTCAACTTTTATTGGGTGTAGTCAATGTCATCATACCAATTTGAAACAATTTCACTGACTGCTATGAATAAACTGGTTCCATCTTTAAGGCCTTCATCAGTTTTGGAAAGAATGACTTCAGAGGGCAGCTTCTCCATTACCAAGCACCCTCCAGACAACATCAGTCTGATCATCTCAAGGGAAAGTTAAATCATCGGATGTTTTGGCCTACAAGTTCCATCAGCCTGAGCCAGCAAAGCCAATGCTAAGGGATTGTCTTAGTCTTCTTTTGATTGAGGGGCCAGGATTGTCTTTGTTGCTGTCCCTGAATTGTGGGCTGCTTTTTTTCAGGAAGCTTGCTGGTCACTGTCTTTGGCTTTTTTGTTGTTGTTGTTAAACCTCCCATTTTGTCAGGTTTTGGGGAACTGATTTTGATCGACTGCTCCATTTTTGCTCCTTTTGGTGCTGTATTAAAACAGAAAACAGACCAGTCTCAGGTGCCCTGAGCAAGTAACTGGATCCTCACATCATTCTGGACATGACATTCCAATTATTTATCATCCTACAGAGGATAATCCCTATAAATGGAATTTCTCATGACAGTTCTCTTTAGAGGTGAAACAGTGAATCTCCAATAAGAGTCACTTCACATTGTCAGCACTCACAGTGATGTTTCCCCATCAGGACAGTTCTGAAGCCATATTCCTCTGGCACAGTAGTGCCTTTAAGTGAATTGTTTAGGAAATTGCATTTTTATTCATTTCCTGCCTCTTGATCATATTACAGTATTATAGTTAGCTTTGAATTCTGTTGCATTGTATAATATGCCATGATAATGCTTGGCATATGACTAATAAATATGTATTTTGAACAAAAAAAGAATTGTCTTTGAAGTATTAATTAGAGTCAGGTGTTGTTGATCACAGGCCAAAGCTCAAAAAAAAAAAAAAAAAGAAGGAAGGAAGGAAGGAAGGAAGGAAGGAAGGAAAGAAAGAAAGAAAGAAATGAAAAAATCTTCATTGAACTCAAGTACTGCAGCATTTTGTGATGAAATTGAAGCAGCTTCAGGTGGACAAAGTTTGGGCAGTGAAACAAGAGAAGCAAGCAGATAGGAAGCAGTAGCAAAGCGTAAGCAGAGGTGATATGCACAACTTCATCTGCTTGCTCCGCGCTGGCAAGGCCTTCAGTTACTTCCATTATTAGGTGCATGTACCAGTTAGCTGAGTTTCAGCAGCAGCATTTGCATGCACAAGATGGCATTTGGTTGGGGTTGTGAAGCCAGGGTATGTGTCCTTGCATCAGATTCCCTCCACCCACACACCCATGTGATAACATTCCTTCTAGTTCCAATTTCCCCCATTACAGGAGTGTGAGCAGGCTTGGGGGAATGCTGAAGTTTGCAGAAGTTTGATTTTAATGAAGAATCCTTGCAAGAGTGGTAAGAACCACCAAAACAGTGTGATGAGGAATGAGTGCTCTGTGGCCATGGAATGCTTATTGGCTGTTGAGGCACAGAAGTGGGAAAGCTCTGGGAGCAGGGAATGGAATGAGGCACTTTTAATCTCGAACAGGGAGCACTCTGTGCTGCAACATTTTGTTCTAGGGCATGTCTTGCAGAATATGATGTGAAAAGCTGGTTCTGTCTGTCCCCTTCTTGGACTGCATATACAATCAAGGTTCTATTTTCCCAGTTTGGTCATGGGAATGCCAGCATCACCATGCGTATGCCTCAGCCAACTCATGGCATTCACTAAATTCATGTATTGGGCATGATTTCTCATTTTGATTCTGGGGGTATTTTTTTTACCCCCTACCCAAGAAGACTGTCCACACTTTAGCTCATAAACTGGTAATTGCCATACAACCTTGGAAGCAGGAGAAAACGAGTATTGAGGATAAATGAGAGAAGAATCAGAAGTGATTGGATGCCCATTAAATGTTCTCTGAGGAGCCCCTGTATTTACAGGCAGGTTTTTCATGCCAATTTTACTTTGAAGATACATAAATTTTATAATTCTCATCATTAGTGCTATAAGCATGGCAAAGTATAAGTTAATTCTACAGTAATGTGATTATTAAAACCATTAGTCAAAGCCAAGGGATCCATAATTAACTTATTCTCCAGCATCAAGTAAATGATTCTACTGTGCGCTTTAAGGAAGCAATTGTTCACTGTTATGCAAAATACACCAGAGCTGTTAGACGATAAAACTCTGCAATCTTATAATTAAATTATAAATTTTACATATTTTAATAATCCACTCTGTATATTGTAATAATTTTCTACATAATACTAAAAGGAAAGTACTGTAATTTGGTTCTTCTGCCTTCTAGCCAAGTCAGAACATCTTAATGTTTAGGAACAGCCATTGCTATCTCAGCACTGAGACTGATAGCTGTCAGTCATCTAGATAGGGTTCTGACCCAGATGTAATAGGCTCTGGAGAGAAGGGAGAGGCCTTGCTGGAGCAACAAAGGTTCAAGGAATTGCCCCTGAATGGACAAGATCACATGCCAGACCAGAATAAAGGAAATGAAATGGGAACCAATGGAGTGAAACACAAGAGCGTGCGTTAATACCAGCAAGCTTGTCACCTAGAATCATGGGATAGGACACTTTGTCATATCTCACAGCATTCCAGGTAGGAAAATCTCTGATCTCCTCCAGTGCTAGAAAGGTCTGCTGTGCAGGTTAGGGACACTCTGAGGATGCCAACAGCCTTCCCAAGACCACTACCAGGAGCAATGTCCCGCCATTACCAGTTGGGACCCTCTCTCCCTTCCTCTCTCTCTCTGTGTTTTGGGAGTAAAAGCTCTCCTTTTTCTACTGAAGGTAACAGAGAAGCAGTGGAGCTCAAAGTGGCAAACTTGGAATTAGCCTATGACAGCCTTACAGGGGAGTTTAGGCTGAGATGGTGGCTTAGCCAGTCGTTCAGAAAGTGTCATTAGTCAGTAGGAATTTATGTCTGAGTTTCCTGCATTGAAAGGCAATTTTGAGTCAAATTACACAATATGTTAAAAACAAAGCAATGCATTTTTTACTCAAGAATAACTGTGTGCAGCCTGGCAGGAAATCTCGAAATGGTAGCTAACTGCCCAGAGAGTTTCAGCTATGGGGCTGCATATGAATGATTGAATGAGATTAGGAGCAGCATAAGGAAGTGTTATGTGGTTCTTTTTTATGTTCTTGAGGCATGTCTTTCTAGTGTGTTTATTTTTTATTTTATGATTTGCATTATGATCAAGAAAACAGACGTTTTTCTAAAATAAGCAAAAGAAAATATTCTAATATAAGGTCACATTCAGCTATAAGGAGGATGGAGGTTTCTTTATGTATTTGGGAATATTATACTTATTAGCAGCTACTTTCCAGAACTGAGTGAAAGAAACTTGTTGACATTTGATCTTCTTTATTGTTACTGATATAAGGTCAAGCGGGAAAGGGGCTAATTTCTTCTGAAAAGTCTGTGTTTTTTGCTTTAGATTTGTATTCCAAAACCAAAACTGGAATGTGACATGCTCTCTCCTCCTTTTTCCTCCTCCTTCCCCACTTTTCTCCTGGCTTCACTCCAAAGGTCTCTGCTTCTTGCTCATTACATTCGCAAGATGAAGCCCCTGGTGGTTACAGTAGTACTGGTAGCCCTGATGCAAGTTTCTCAGACCTTCCCTACCTGGTACCAGAAAGGATGGTTGAGACTGTTAAGAGAAGGTGAGAGCTGTGGAGCATGCAACCTGGAACTTTGCTCTGTGCCTACAAACTGTCGAGCTGGGACTGTCCTAGATCTGTGTGGCTGTTGTTCTGAATGTGGAAATGTGGAAGGGCAGATTTGTGACTTGGACAAAGGCAGTAATTTTTATGGGCACTGTGGAGACAACCTGGAATGTCGGCTGGACATCGATGCCATAAAGTTTGGTGAAATCCCTGAGCCACAGTGTGTGTGCAAATCACAGGTGAATGTATGTGGACCGGAAGGAAAGACCTATGAGAATATCTGCCAGTTCAATGAGTTTGCTGCAGAGAAGGGGACAAATATTAGCATCAAGCACAAAGGTCCATGCAGATCAGGTAAGAAAATGTAATATAGGACTTATACAGTATACATAAGGAATCTAAGATTTGCTTTTTGACAGAACAGTGTGACAGTTACTATAGTTAATATTTGGGAGCTAAGAAGACAAGCAATGTATGTTCCATACTGCAATCCTATGCAATGTTTATTCAGATGTTCAAGAGTACGTATTTTTATTTATTTATTTATTTATTAAAACATTTCTATGCCGCCCCTTGCCGAGGCCTCGGGGCGGCTTACAACATCAAATAAAATACAAAATACGTAAAATACAAAAGTATGAATAGGGTTGCAACCTAACAGTGCAATCCTCTCTATCTCTGCCCTGAAGTAAATTCCATTAAGTTCAGTGGGACTTCTGCCCATGTGCAGTATGTGTAGGCTTGCAGTCCCTAAATTGTAGGACTGCACACAGAACTGTTTTGGTCCTGGAAATGGAAGACATCCTTCCTCTCCAAATCAAGTTACATTCCCCACTTTCTTCCCTCGTCCACATTTCCCATAAAATAATAAACAGCAGGAATGTGAAATCCTTTTCCAAGTGATCCCTACAGTAATAAAAATTTGGATGGAAATTTATAAACCTTTCGTTAATGGTTTATGAACTTGCTTCTAAACCTTCAAGGTAGGCATGGTTAACATGGCAGCATTCTAATAGGAAAGAGTAATCTGCACTCATGGTGGAATCCGGGTGAAACTGTTGAATATATAAGTTGCCTGATAGTGTAATCAGAACAGAGTACTGACCTATTGCTATGCATCTAGGAACAGTAGGAGTGAAGGCTAAAGGAACACAGGGAAAAGTAGGAAAGACATGGTACAGGTGTGTCATGCTCCAATCTTAGTATAAATAGTTCAAAAGAAAACAGCACTGGTTCAAAATATCTCAATAACCATTGAGCAAATTCACAGAATAGATAAATTCAAGCTGTAATTTTATCAATAATAATATTAGCAATAGATATAATAATTGTGTGATCTAAGCTTAGCCAATTCTGTTGCCTTTCATACATTTTGGACTACAACTCCATAAACCCTGACCATTGGGCTTGCTGGCTGAGTCTTATGGAGTTTAAATTCAAAACATATGGAGAATACCAGGCTGCCTTCCTTGATTTAAACAGATTGAGTCTGATATGTATCTTCAGATTTCCTTGCATGCTTAAAGGTAAAGGTTTCCCCTTGACGTTATGTCCAATCATGCCTGACTCTTGGGGGCGGTGCTCATCTCCATTTCCTAGCCGAGGGAGCCAGTGTTTCTCCACAGACAGTCTCCGTGGTCATGTGGCCGGCATGGCTAAACATCGAAGTGCACGGAACACTGTTACCTGCCCACCGAAGTGGTACCTTTTTATCTACTTGCATTTGCATGCTTTTGAACTGCAAGGTTGGCAGGAGCTGGGACAGAGCAATGGGAACTCACCCCATTGTGCAGATTCAAACTGGTGACCTTTCGATCTACCAGCCCAGCAGCACAGTGGTTTAAACCACTGCACCACCTGCAGTCCCTCTACATGCTTATATAGACGTAAATAACCACACGTTTGGTTACATTCTAGTTTCTATTTAGGACTAAACTTTTGCTTGCAACTTGATTGCAATGCAAAAACCAGAACACCAAAATAAACTAGTGGAGAGATGAAGTATTAGCTCACTAACCACTTTATAACTTCATGTGTAAATGATAGATTCATAGATACATTCTTTAGCAATTAGTGTTATTACTTCCTAGAATTCAGAATGACTTAACACAGCCTTTGGGGAGAGGCCCAAGTTCCCCAGGAAGCTCAGCACCAAAGTGAGTCAAAACAGATTTCCCATATGCGATTTGTATGTTCTTCAAGACATATCTATCGTACACAATACTCCCTCAACATTCTTCCTAAAAATTAGGCTATCAACCTGCAGTGTCAGTGAAATGTTCTTGTAACATTGACATGGCTTGCAATATTACGTGACTTCAGTTGTTATACCCCAAAGGCTGTCACAAAGGAGAAGGAAAAGACCTCTTCTCACTCATCCTAGATTGTAGGACACGGAACAACAAACTTAAACTACAGTAGACCAGGTGCAGGAAGAATTTCCTGACTGTGAGTAGTATGACAGTAGAACCAGCTGCCAAGAGAGGTGGTGGGCTCTTTCACACTAGAGCCATTCAAGGTGAAATTGGACAACCATCTGAGTGGGGTGGCGTAACTAGTGTCCTGCACCAGCAGGAGGTTGGATTCGATGGCCTTCTTGGCCCCTTCTGACCCAACTATTCTGTGCCTGGAGCCAAGCCTGGAGATGTCATCAGTTGTCACCATACAACACATTCTGAGAATCTGGACAGCACTTAGCATCTTAAGAGGGTTGCACTGAGCATCTTCCATCTGTTGATCTGCAGTGTCTGAAATGACTTATAGAATTCCATCTGCCAATGAAAGGTAGAAATTCAAATATTGTAAGTGCATGAGTGTATGTATTTCTGCATATGTAGATATAAACATAGTGAGTTGTGCACTCTAGGCAGGACTTGGGGGGCCAAGGCCCAGAGCTCCACTCAACAGAATAAGCAGGGGGGCCCCAGACACAGGAGGGCTGGCTTGCTTCACTTGCCCAGCAGTGACACAACACCAGCTAAAAAGCCTTCTAGTCTAATAAGTATATTAATTGCAGACTCAAAAGTTACTTTGCACACAACTGACACATGGTGTCTTACAGGTTTCACAGACAAAAACAGACAGGCACCTGCTCCCAAGGAGCTAAAAAGCCAAAAATGGTGGAAATGGGAGGGTAGTAAGAGACAAGGATGCTAAGTAAGGAGTGCAAGAAAGTGTAGTTAATGGTCTTAGAGCTGGATGAGCGAACTGTAAAGGTTTGTGGGAATTTGACATAAGAAATAGAATATGGCACAAACAGAGCTACCACATCATACCGATGTTGCCCCTTGATATAGCTATCTGGAACAGTGTTTATTTGCAGTGTTCACACACAGTGACCTGTCGTTGCCAGAGTTTGCAAGGCAGCTGCACTTTGATGTTTTGGCTTGTTCCACAGGAGATCAGTTGTAAGGATCACACTCTTTTCATCAAAAAAACATCTTTGCCCCAACTTTGTTCTTTGATCCAATTCTATTGGAGCTGGATTTGGGATGGGGAATGATAATACAATTGCCACATCAGCATTTTACCCTTTGAAGGGATCAGAGTAAAGTGCTAGCAAGATGTGGATTGAAGTGGGAAAAGCAGTATTTTATTGGGGACCCTTTTTAAATAGGTGAATCTTATGATTTCAGCAAGACAAATATCTGCAGGAGTTGCTCATTCCTGACAGATTCTGAAACTCTGGGATACTTGGGCATTCAGCGAGCAAACTAAAAACGTCTATTTGCGTAGCTGACATGGTAAGAGTGAAGAAACAGCAAAAGCATTCTGCATTCTGAATGTGCTAATCTGACAGCACACTCCTATACACCTCTACTCAGAAGTAATTCAATACTAAAGTCAAAGTTAATGGGACTTAGTCCCAGGTACATGTGAGCAGGATTGCAGACTGAACTACATGTACTTGCAGTTGATTGGTTTAAATCCTGAAGAGTACCAAAGAATTAAGAAGAAATTAGTAAGAATTATTGTTGAACTCCTTGAGATCCATGGGCAGAATGCTATCAAGATCTGAGTAACTGGAAAAATTCCCAGGAAGTTCAATACCGTTACATCAAATTTTAGAAGAGTAAACTTCTCAAAATACAGTTAAATACAATGAAGCTGAAGAATGAAGAATGTAATTTAAAACCACTGCAATAGAGGCCTGGATAAAAAGACAGGGCCTCTAGCACTACTAATCAAAATGTAATAGCATGCAGTTGTTCCCTCTTTCTCTTCTTAATTTTTATTTATTTTTTGTTGGAAGAAAAAAGATGGTGGAAGATGGTGACCAGAGGATGCAAATGCCTGGATCCCTTGTAAATTTCATTAGCGAGTCATGATGGTTGTCCAGACTAACAAGAGTTGACCTGTTTCAATTCTGTATCTTCAAAAGCCCCAAACTTCATTGTACTGGTTACTCATTTAATGTGTAAATGATGTGCTCAAAGGATTGGATCCACTCCCTCTAGTGGCTTGATTTTAAAAATACATTTTTTAAGGAACAGCCAAAAAACTTCCATTCATTTTTCCTTCATATCATGAATATACTCCTGCTCCATGGTCCAGTATTTTAGATTCAATCTGAATATGCAACTGAAAACTGCATTTCAATTACATTAAAAACTCTGCTTCCCCCAAAAGCATAATGACTTTAATAGCTTGATCAAAATGAAGTTATAAAACAGAATTTAGTGCCCAAGTGAAATGGCAGCAAATCACACAGTTCACAGTTATAATTGTCCGTCATGCTGGGTTCAAAATTAACAGCTACTATTCAGAGGGGAAAAAGTCCCAAGCATTCTTGTAAACAGATGGAATTGCCTTGCTCTACACAGCATTAGTAACAAGAACAAAAGCAATGTTTACAAAATGTAAAAATAAACACTGATATTGTGCTGTGGCGAGAGGTCAAGCTACAATCCAATCTTCAGCAGCCTGCTTGAATCTTGTGAACTTTGTTGGGATTTAAGCTGCAGAACGCTCCTCAATTGCCCTCTTAGACTTCAGCATAAGAATCCCTCCTTCAGCTCACTGCTCATTTGGTAGCACTTTTGGTAGCAAAAGATTTGATTCTAGCTACATTTGAAAAGTTATCAGTAGTTTGACTCTAACAAGGCTTTTTCCATCAGAAGTTAATTCTTCTTGTAGAAAAGATTTAACATGATTATTAGCATGATCTTCTCAAACATGTCTCTTCCAGCTCCTGTTATTTCTTTGCCACCTCAGGACACCCAAAATTTCACAGGAAATGACATCATTTTTGGTTGTGAGGTATCTGCTTATCCTATGCCACACCTTGAATGGAAGAAAAAAGGAAATAAAATGTTTCTGCCAGGAGACGATTCTCATATTTCAATTCAGGTATATAGTCTAAAGTAGGTAAAGTAAAATAATTATTTGAAGTTTGTTTCAAATTATTGGAAGCCAAAGACCTCTTCTTACAACAAAATGGCATGTGTGTGTGTGTACATACAGATGCACGCACAAACATATTCCTCACCTATAAAAGTGGGGTTGGTGAATAAATTCTGTAGGTGCCACCATTAGTTTCCAGGAGCCAGAATTAAATATGTTAACACATCCATCTTTTAAAAAAACATGCATAAGTAAGGCTGAAGTTTTATGCATTGATAGGGCCAAATAATTTTGCAAAACAATTGTCAGAATCCCGGAATCTCAATTTGAGAAGAGGGAATAAAACCCGGGTTTGTGGGAAAGATCAAGCATCCAGACCAGGCTTTATTGTATTAACCCAAGGTTCCCGTGGTACTCACGATAATGCATGCATTACCGGGCAGGCAGAGGTGAACTCTGCTGCAAAGCTTCAACACAACTACAGAGTTATTATACACTCCCAGGTACAGGGCAATTGATGACAGAATGCAGAGATTACAATAAGATTCTGAGGTCATCACATACAGAACAGATAAAGGAATGTCAGTCAATCACACAGTAACAATGAGATTACAATATTTCTAATTGCCTGTATTGACACTTTAGTTCAGTAGCTTGAACCCATCTCCAGGTCTGTTTAAGACATTTAAATTCAAGCTACTGAGAAACTATGCATGATAAGCTCAAGACTCTTTTCTAAACTCTAGACATTCTGAATTGGCCAGGGCACATGGAGCCTCTGGGCTAGGAAGATACTTCCTTGAATTCCAACAATGATTATTTAATCATTGTGAAGGTATACAATGTAAATTCGGACTAAATGACCTGTGTACTGTAGCTTACAGCTAAAGGTGAGAGAAAGGAGTGGGGGAATGCCATTTTAAACAGTGACAGCTTGGTTTTGAGAAGGAAGACAGGATTTGATCCCACAATGCAAAAAGCACACAGAAGTAATGGTTTTCAGGCAGGATTTATCCAAATTTTCCCAACAGTAGCAACCCAGATATTTTCTAGATATTAAAGAGACGAGACTAGACACCTACATCAAAAAAGCTTTGTTATCTATCTGGGTTTTCCTTTAATGGAACAAAGAATGACAAATGGCTTTACTAACTATACAGAGGCTATACAGTTAAAGTATTATGTTAAAATGCAACATAACCAAGATGTTGGGTATTGCAGTAGAGGAAACAAATTGTGGGATGGTGGTGATGGTGATGATGATACCGTCAGTATACAGTGCATGATGCTTTACAGATTGCAGGAGGAAACAACAGATGAAGGTGTGGGCAAGGGAGGCAGTCTGGTTGTTTCAGATGCATGTGCTTAGGTGTAGTCACAGGCCTGTATAAGGTATGATGCATGAGATCAGGGGTAGAGCTAAATATATGGCCTACTAAAGGAGATAAAGAAGCCTAACAAAAATGTCTTGGGGAAAGCAGGTCTGTGGAACATTAATCCCAATTTCAGGAACTGGCTGGTGACTTTACAGAAATAAGACCCAGTTCTGTGTCCTTATCACACTCTTGTGTGAGCAAGATAAATAACCATAGCTATGCAAACAAAACTGCAATGCTGTGAACATGGTATGGGTTTGGTTCTCATCTGTTATAACTATAGGGAAAATTAAATGAGAGAGAGAAAGAAAAACTGCCTCAGGCGATGTTTCAGTATGGGTTGGTGGCATGCTTTTTCATTATGTATTTATTTGCAATATTTCTACCCCACTCTGTAGTGAAAGAGTACCTTACAAATTTGGAATGTAGGCCTGCTTAGGGGTTCTCCCTTGCCTGGTTATAATGCTACTGCTGGCCCCACCTGTGCTATCCTGTGCCCATTGCTTTGATTCTTTTGCTGCTTTCTCTGCGTTGGACGTGATTCAGGGAACATGCCCTACATAGCTAGGCTTGTTGGGTAATTTAGACACTTCTGCAATCAGGGTTCTGAATTGTGCAGGAAGAATTCCTATGTAAAGCAGGCACCCCACTTCAGAAGTTTTGCCTCCAATATTTGGAGGATGCTGAGGGCAGACAACAAGGTTGGAACACAGAAGGTGGCGTTAGCAGACTTGGATTCCCGCTCTTCCCCTTCACAGAATTGTCATTACAATTTTGCTGATGCTTCTTTAGTTATCACAAATAATTTTTAAAAACCCCACAAAATGGAAAGATAAAACTACTTCAGCAAAGACATTAAAAACTCTAGATGTAAAAAACAATAACTTAAAAGACCCGGGAAATAAAGATTTTCACCTGTTGCTGAAAAGATGGAACCAGGTGAGCCTTGCTATAGAGAGAATTCTATTCATTTGGTGTAGCCATGTGTGGGGTTGCTGAAAATGTGGAAATGGTTTATTAAAAATTAGAAGACATGAATTTGCATTAAATGTGCATATACTGATGGTATATATGGATACAAATACAGGCATAGTTATAAATATAAATGCATGTAATAGTATTAATAACAACTTTTATTCAAATACAAATATAATACATCTTTCCATGGAAAGGATACTATGAAAACTTACCATCTGATTTTTGTGTCTATTTAGTCTGTTGTCCAGGTGCTCTCAACAGGCAATTTCATGGCCCTGCTTGCCTTTCTTCTTCTTCTTCTTCTTCTTCTTCTTCTTCTTCTTCTTCTGCTGCTGCTGCTGCTGCTGCTGCTGCTGCTGCTGCTGCTTTATTATCATTTAAAATATTTGTATGCCACCTATTGTGCCATTGCACAGCTGGGTGGCTCAGTATCAGAAGATAAAACTGATTACAACAATGATTAAAATACAATAAAAATAAAATGTAGATAAAATACAAGTGGAGGTTTAGTGGCATCACCTATTAAAATATTTTTTTAAAAAAGGTAGGTCTTTGCCTGATGCCAAAAAGAGTTCTTAGGATTCTTTCTCTTAAAACCAGACTTGGACTAGACACCAGACACAGGACTGTTACCTGTAAAATAGGACACATGGCTGTTCTTTGTAACGTAGGACACATGAGGTAAGTTACTCACCTCATTTCTGAAGGAATTCAGAGGAATACTCCTGAAGAATGTACTTAAGCAGTTCATATGGGAGAAGGTGGTTCTATGGGTACCTACAGTATGTCCTAAGCTGAATAAGTCTGTACAGCCAGTTCTACTGTTTAAAAACTGTTGAGGTTTGTTCCTTTTAGCCAGTGTCATTGTCATCTAGCTGTTTTTCAGAGAGAGCCTGAAAAAACGAAGGGCATAACAAAGGGAAGACTAAACCCCTTTGATGCTGGAATGACCAAAGGACAGTGGTAAAGTGTTACCACTGGCACATGAAAGCACTTATATCTGCTTTCTCCCAGATATATAAATAGCTGTCACTTGCACTCAAAAATGTAAAATACAACATTTGGGGATCACCAACTGCAATAGAGGTAAAATCTACCTGCTCCCCTCTGACCCTGGCCCATCCTCTAGTGACACAGATCCTGCATGCAGTGGGACATACCATTTCTGTGTACCTATTGAGTCTTCCTTGGAGTCCTCACAACGTTCCAGCTTTTTCTCTCCCCTCCCACCAGTATAATGGGTGTTCCACTAATAGTTGTGCTAGAACAAAAAGATAATATCTCAGTCCAAACTAGGATCAGCTATGTATACTCCAAGTGGAAGGAGTATACATAGTGACAATTTAATCCTTAATATTTACTCTTTATCTTTGTTTTTCTCAGGTAAGAGGGGGACCTCGGAAATACAGTGTGACTGGATGGTTACAAATTGAAGGAATCAAGAAATCAGATGAAGGTGTCTACATATGCCAAACCAAAAACAAATATGGGTTTGCCTATTCATCTGCCACACTGAAAGTTATTGATGGTATATTACTGTATTTACTTCAACCTTATCTGTAACAAAAAGCAGAAAACTTGAAAGCTTGGTTGCTTAATCTTTTAATGGTCATGCCAGTTGCTCATGGCTCATATTTCACAAGAAGTCTACATATGCCACACCAAAAACAAATACGTATTTGCCTATTCATCTGCTAGGTTGAAAGTTATTGATTGTAAATTACTGTATTTTCGTAAATAGACAATTGGGATGACCATTAGGAGACTGGCTAGGGAAATGATGTTTCAGTGGACATAGCCTGATGATAATTGATAAACCACATGATTAATTACTTCCTCATTTACAGTGCCATCCATAACTGTAAACAGCTAGATTATGAAGTGGTCTTTGAAGTAGGGAAAGGCTGAATTTTCCTAGGTACAAGACCACTGGAATGAAGGGAAATTACTTTAGGATGCAAACGGGGGTGGGGAGGGGGGCAAAGGTCTTGGGCACAAAATGAGGTTGGATGTAGTAAGTTAGAGGACATATGGCTTGATGGTAGCCTTTCCCAACATGGACACATGTTGTGCATTTGTGGAAAAAACTGCAGTAGAAACTAAGATTTTGGGTAGTTGGGAAGAACTTTTATATTTTTATTGTTTTCCATTAGAAAAGTGATGGGAGATGCTCATGCACTGAGAATAGGGAGCACTGAATCTGTAGTTGGAGACAATGTTTAGTATAAAGCCTGACTTCATCATCCCCAGCAGGGAATTAACAGTCAACACATCTGGAGAACACCAGGTTAAGGATGGTTGTTCCATAAGAAGGAGCTAGAGGAATATTGCTCAGACCAAAGAGGGCAAGCCAAATAGGCTAACTCACCTGGTGCGTTCTGACCTTTGGCCTACGACTGCCATCATTCCTTATCACAGGCTCTGGAAGTTGCTGTCCAGCTTGCTCTAGAGGGCCACAAATTGCTCAGCTCTGATATACAAGCATCTGCTTGCCTTGTTTGACCTTTCTTTTGCAATCCCCTCCTTTCTTCAGAGCTTAACAATGGTGTAGAATCTCTGCCTCACATCCCACAGGCTTCCTGTTCAAGATTTGGCAGTAGGCTAAGATCAGGGGTGGAGCTGCAACATTGTACTTCTGGCATGACATATCACTGCTTCACCAATGCACTTCAACCCAGAGGTGAACAGCTTGAGGGCCTTCCAGGTGTTTTGGCAAACAACTCTTATCCATCATAGGCAATGGTGAAAGATCATGGGAGTTGTAGGGTACAAGTTGCCCTCCCCTTTAAAAGGATTAGTCTGTGCCTCATTTGAAAATGGAAGTCATCTTTTAACACAATGGATGGACCAATTTAATGTTTGATTACCTTGCATTTTCTTTGCTGAGGAACCCTAACATACTGGTTGTTTTTTCTTTCCTATATCCTGCCCATATGCAAGTGCCTGATGCTGATTCAAGCTGTTTGCCTAGGGGTGACTGACTTTTTTTAGTCTGAGAGCTGAATTCACTTTTGGAGAAGCTTTCAGATGCCATATTCTCATGGTGGGCAGGGCCAAAGGTGAAATGGGAGGTGGGGCAGGGTAAAGTCAACAGGGATGTGTACTCAGTTTTAAAAAGAGCAGCATATTTTAGCTTAAAGCCCTATTGCCAGGGACAGCTTTCCATTGCGGTGCTAGTAAAGCTTCCTGTTACAGCCCCCACTGTCAAATCTTGAAGAAAGACCCTCATTTCAGCCATTTAGAATGGGAGGGGACTGTGGGAAACTGCCCAATGAGCCACAGTTGAGGGAAGGGGCATGACCACCTGGGTAAGCCTGGAGTGTTAGGCTGATTTGGCTGGCGGGGCCTCAGTCGATTCTGGTGAGCAGTAGATCTCCAAGGCTAAGGCTAAGCCAAGTCCACTTCTTAAGATTCTTTTACCTTAAGCTGCAAGTGATTGGAATCTTCTGCAGGCAAACCAGGTACTCTGTTCCTAGCCTACATGGCCACCATATAATCTATATGTCCACTATCCTGTCATCTAGGTATGCTTCCTCCCCACACACACACAAAATTGCTGTGTCTTACTCTGCAGGCTCATCATCATTACAGAGTATCTCTGGCAGCTGGACCACAAGGGACAGCACAGATTATGGCAACTATTTTGACCTCACTGAGGAGGAGGAAGAGGAGGAGGCAGAATACGAATCCGGAGACTATGGAAAATGAAACAAGTGCAGATTGTGCAAGGGGTTGTGTGCGTGTCCAACCTTTTCCCTTCTGTTTTCCTTATTCTTACTTGTGTGATCTGCATTGCTCTGACAGAAAATGTTATTTCAAATTCTAGAAACTATTGGCAATGGGACCAGAGTGCCTAAAAGTATGCTGTACCATTTCAGTAATAATTGACAAATGATAAAGCCTTCATATTGATTATATTTGGAATAATGTACAATGAGTATATAAGTGACAAAAATGATAGTCTAAAATATATTAAAGTTGCACTTCTCTGGACCCCTCTAATCTAGGCATTTGCTTACACAGGACTTACCCTCTCTACTATAGGACAGCAATGGTCCTAGTGGGGCTCAAGAGTCATGGGCAGGTTGTGAAGGCTTTTTGTGGGTTTCAGGCAGTTCAAACAGGTGCACAGCAATGGAGTCCCAGGTCACATCTGTTACCCCTTCAGATGTTGCTGAACTCCAACTCCCATCATCCCCAAACTGTGATCAATGGGCAGGGATGATGAGAGTTGTCGTCTGATAATATATGATGAACAATACATTTTCCACCACTGCAGTAGAAAAGGAATACTTTTCCCCTCCCTTTTTCTCTCTCTTTCAGCCACTTGCAAAATAAGTCCAGATGAAGGGCAAAAAAACATAACAATGACAGGAACAGTGGTGCAGGTAGATAATTTTAGAATGATCTTTTGCTTCCCTCCTTGAAAGCCATATGTATTATATACACATACACAGAAACAAGCTGGTATTCTGCACTGTTTCTATATCCCTGATATGTTAAAGCAAAAACAAACAAACAAATCTCCAAAACAGCAACAACACATAAAAACAAGAACATCAAAAATAAAAAAGTTGATACACATTTGGCAGCTTCTCCACATTCACAGTGAATGGCTCTACCTTATTTTGTTACTAGCAGATTTTCAGCTTCTCCATACCTGCACATGTAACAACATATTCTGTTCCAGTTCAAAAAGTGATATCTGAAGGATTTGCGTGTGGCTGGAAAAACTAGAGCTGTGAGCAAATGGTCTCCTACAATTCTCTACCTTATTTGTAGGTAGAGACATTGCATGGACAATTCTGTCAGGTTTTTTTGGTGAGGGGGAGTGGGGGAGACATTTATAGTAGGTAAGAAAAGAAAAATCTCAGGATTCTTCCTAATAACTCTCGGGATGGTTTACAATCAACAAATATAATAACAATAACACATTATAATGACAGTCCATAAAATAATCAGCAATAGCAGTAAAAGAAAAAACAAAACTAGCTAAATAAAATAAATAACAAATCAGATCTTAACATGGTACTCGTAAGATGCACTGAAATATTTGTAAGATTAGTTTAACATTTGCAGATCCAAAAATAATGTGCTTCCTGATGACAACAGAAAGTGTTTATATATACAATTCTAAGGTTAGCTCTAACCAATGATTATTTCACATCATCTCATCCCCATGCTGAAAGGAAGGCAGCCCATTCCAATTCTGGCAATACCAGCTGGTCTCCAGCTGCTACCATCCTTTTAAACTGGGAACCTGGTTCAGTCCAGCTCAGATAAACTTGGTGGATTTGACAAATATACCAGTTTTAATGGCTTGCTACAAAGGAGGCAAAGGCCTTATGAATTCTCAGTACAAAACATTTAATGAACTAGGGAGTGGTTACTTGGAAAAACAAGCATTGAAATCTAAGGTGAATGTAATTAGACTGTAACTAAGGTTAACATATTAGACAATAGAGGTAGCAGGTCCATGGAAATTCAGATTGATTACTAGTGCAACTCCTTCATAGCACAGTCTTACCTGTGTATATTCAGATGTAAATCCATTAGGTTTATTCCCTGACAAGTATACATACAAATGTAGCTTCATTAGTGTGGAGAAATTCAAGTTCAGAAATCTCGTGACTGCCAATAAGTAAAATCGTGTAACGGAACACTAAAAAGAATGAGAAATGCATCAGTAGCATACATGATGTGAAAAATAAAACTCAAGTGATCCTGCTTTTGTTTCCCAATTACACATGTTGAATTCTTCAGGGCTATCAATGCACCATAGAACTCTCTCACCTGGCTCACAGAAAGCACTAAAAAGCAGGCATGTTCACAGTTCACATGGCCACTATTGTGTGCCTCAAGTGAGCATTTTGCAGGTTTTGTCTCAGGAAAGGGGCTCATACTTACTGTTCACATGTTACCCTAGCAGTGCAAAACAACAATAGGACATACAAATCCCTCTTGTGCAGCTGATGTTCACTGCTTTCAGGATCTCAGGCATGAAGAGCTGTTTCTGGAAATTTTCACCAAGGTGAGAATTAACTCTGACTTAACACTTGGAGGCCCATTTGGGTGAGTGCTTCTTAACCAAAGAAAGAAAGACAGAAAGAAATCCCTGTACAACAAGAGCAAGGAGTCCTACGCTGATTTCTTTCTTAATTTGCCTACCTTTTGTAGGCTTCCTATAATATGCAAAATCCACCATGAAGGTTTTTTTAAGCGCACCACTAGGAGTTTGTGAGAATAGTATGCCTGAGGTTGACTCAAGGTGGCTGTCTTTAGGCATAGAGCAGAATGGGGGCAGTGAGTCCAACAAGGATATTACAAGCCCTGCCAGTTTGAGTTAGTGCACATGTGTGCGTACACACACACTTAACCCTTTTAGATGTGAAGATAAGGGAAAAGTTCAGGTATTATTCTGGTACATTCTTGGCTCACAATGTACAAAGGCTCTGAAGAGGCATTAGGGGCTGCATGCACCAGTTGCTGGGGAGCTTGGGTGGGCAGAATTCCTGCACCCATCCCACTTGTGGGATCTTGTGGGCACCTGGTCTGCCACCATGTGAATGGAGTAGTGTACTGGATGGACCACTGGACTGATTCAGCATGGCTTTTCTTTTGTTCTTACCTGTCTTGTGTGCAGAAAGGTCCAGGTTCGGTTCCTAGCGTTGCCAGCCAAAACACGAGGCTATGTTGCACACAGCTCAGCTGCCCCAGATGAACACAGTATGAACCAGTGTGATGATGCAATGGTCAGCAAGTGGGACTAAGACTGCAGGGGGATCAACTCCGTACTCAAGCTTACTGGGTGACCCCTCTCCTTGGTTGTGTTGTGAGTCAAGCGGGATATGTGCGCTGACTTGGGCTCTTAAAATAAATAAAACAGTACTATCTATACTTTTGGTAAGATGATTAATTTACTAAGCATTTTTACCCCACTTACAAATGGCACCCAACACAAAAGGACAAGAGAGAGGAAGGAGATTTACCTCTATAGTGGTTGAACTGTATTGGAGCAAAAAGTTAGGGTTAAACTTTTGGGGTCAAGACAAAAAACAACACCCTCCTTCCTACTTATAGCCACTTTCACTTTACTTGGTTTATATGTATTGAATTGTTTGGTAAAGTCCGTGTTGCTGCCTATGCTATATTAACTATACGATAAACCATGGGGGGCGGATGCTTACTCCTGCTATGTGGTGGCATGCATGGGCTGGGAGTTGTAAATTTATGAGAAGAAATGCAACATTCAGAACATAATGGGCTTCTTTGAACATGATTTCAGGAACGACCAACGATACTAAGAATGAGCAAAAAAAAGTAACTCAAAAGCATTTTGTGTCTGCATCCTTTCACAGATGCACACAAAATGCTTTTGAGTTGCTTACATGTCTATGTGGTTTGCAGCACCATCTTATACCTGTCTGCCTGTTGAGTTCAAAGGGGACTATTTTCAGGTAATTATTTATACAGCTGCAGACTTCCGACGCCATCCTACGGATGAATTGCCACAAACAAGTCCTCAATTTCCACCTGGCTGGGGGATGCTGGCAATTGTAGGACTAATTGCCTTCCCTTCATGATTTAAAATTGCCGAATCAACAAGGTTTCGCCCCACCCCCTTTTTGTCGGGGTGCGAGTGAAGGATTTTTGAGGGGAGGGAATTACAGACTATTTCTTGTTGGTGGGTGTTTCAGTAGGGCTGCTAATGTAGTAAAGACGTCCTTAAAGTGATGTGAGACGAAGGTGTCACTGTATTTAATAATGATGCTAATCATCATCATACTAGTGTTCCCGGAAGGCTTTATTCAAAACAAAGAACGACGGCGGAAAAGCCAACGAAGAGCAACCAGGAAAGTCCGGCTCTTTCCATGCAGCACGTTCCCGCCCGAATCGTTCCCTGGCACCTCAGGGACTCGGCTCTGCCGCCGCCCCCGCGCGCCCCGCCCCTGGCCCCGGCCACGCCCGCCTCGGCACCGCAGCCTCCGCCCCCTCCCCGCTCCTCTCGGCGTCGCCCTCCCGCCGAGGAAGATGGCGCTGAGCGGCCAGGTTGGTCAGTCCGTGTGCACGGAAGAGGCGACGGCGAGGCGCTGTACCCCGAGCTTGGCCGTTGGCGGGTTGTGACGGGGGTGGAGTAGGGAAGATGGCTGAATCCTGGGGAGGGGCAGGCCGGCCGTTGATCCAGTGCGGGGGAGGCTGGAGGAGGAGGCGGAGGTGGAGGCAGGGGGGCGAGGCGGCGTTGGAGGACGGTAGCGCATCCTCACGGGCGGAGAACGTTTGGGGAGCTGTAGAGAGATGGGGCAAGAAGCTGTAGAGATCCCTTTCCGCCTTCCCCACGGAAAGTTGGATGTTGCAAGGAAGACGGGGGTGTCTTCTTTGGGGCCCCTCGTCGAGCAAGGCTTGAGGGTGGGGAGAGGAGTAAGTGAACCCATATCATTTCGGAGTCTTGAAAGAAAAGGTGGGCTGCAGCCGAGAATTTGAGGTTTGAAGCAGTGGTGCTTGCAAGGAGAATTGGTAGAGTCCTTATAGGGCAGTGTTCCCCAACCGAGCGCCCTCCATATGTGTGCTACTACAACTCCCGTAATTCTCATGCTGCCTGTTAATTATGGGAGTTGTAGACTAGCACATCTGGAGAGTGGTAGGTTTGGAAAGCCTGCTCTATAGGGTGGAGTAGGTGGGGATAATGTTACCTTGGATGGGAAAGGTGGTCCAGAGGTTCAAGGGAAAGATGATTTG